AAGTAGGGATCTTTATCCGCACGTGTTAGCCTGGTGAATTGAGCCTATAGGAGTACAGCTCTTGTGCTGCCCCCTGCTGGTTCACTTGCTTTACTGCAGGTACTGAGCATCCGTTCAAAACACTTCCCTTATTGGTAGACTGGAACGTATTTGTCTATTGTTTTTCAATGACACAAGCTGCAGGAGGTCCTTTAAAAAGTGAAAACTCACCTGTGCGTCGTTCATAATACTGACGTCGATCAGATTTCGGTCATATGGCACCAATGTCACCGTCTCAAAGGTCAGATATTTCTGCCCTCCAAACATGTGCTGCAGAAGAAAGTGAAAGTGTTACATAGTTCCAAAGTTTGTACAGCTGAATAAAGACATAGGTAGATCCAGTCCAACTCATACATGTATGCGTATGCTTATCTGTGTGTGCGCATGTCACTATGAACGTCTATACCTCTCTAAATTTTGTGAACTGAGAAACTCATCTAAATGTTTTTGACGTCATCAATGCTTTCAGCTGATACTGATAACTATGGGAGTTCCACATTTTTAGTGTGTTGACAGTGATAAACCTTTACCCACTTCAAGATGAAACCACTCCCCGCCCAGCTTCATGTTGTGGCCATGTGTCTTCATCATAGTCCTTAGCTTCAACAGCTACAACACAGTGCAGGAGCTGGCAGCCTGGAGCTGGAGGCACAAAGATCAGGAACCATGAGTGAGGACATTCTAGAGGAGAGCTGCAGCAGGTCAAGGTAGGTACTAATTGTATATGTGCTTTGTGGGGTTAAAAACATTTTCCCAACCAAAAATTAATAAAATGCTTTAAAGGCTAGTTAACACCATCCTCAGTGTGTTCCAGCCCGATTGTGGCCGGAACGCAGTGGATCGCATTGCGGCCGGCTCAGTTTGTTGTGGGGCGGGAGGGGGCATGGTAGTGCATTGAAGTGAATGGCACCGCAGCCACGCCCTCCGGCTGCCATGCGCTCGGCCGCACGGGAACGCAAAGAACATCAATG